GTTTTCTAGGTCTGTGAGGTTGTAATGTTAAATGTGTTTCTCAAGAGAAAGTATGGTGGTTGTTTTTTAGAACTACATCCCTAGATAGTCGGATTACTGAGGAATGACACAGGGGACACTGCTTTAAGATGTATCCAGTAAGCAGAATGGGGTTTAGAGGCAAACAGCCTAGATTAGAAGGCTTCTGTAGTAATCTAACCCCATGAAATAATGAAGGCAACAGTAGGCCTGGGGAATGGGGATAACTAAGCCAAGAAAAAGAAAATATTGAATATGTGAATAAAGAAGGAAAAGTTGATTATTCTGAAAATACCTGGTTTAGAAATTAGAAGGCTGGCAGGTGTAGTGAGATATGTGGTATATTGCAAAGAATACAGCTTTGAATGCTGGTAGAATCCAGTCTGTGTCTTGCCTGTATGACTTTATTAATTAGACATGTGATCTTTGGCAAGTCACAAAGCCTTCTGCCTCATTTTTACAATCATGCCTTTTAAATATCAATTAATTGCTACAATTAAATGAGACAATATACTATATATATGATATTCATGAATACACTAACACCCAGGATGTAGCTGCAATATAAATAGGTGGTATGTTTGTATTATGTGTAATTATTCATGTTTATTATATCCACATATTTATTATGAACATGCAAAATATAGTATAATTACACCTGAAGAAAATATAGTATAATGACACCTGAAGAAATAGTGGGATATCCAAGAAGAGTTACTCATCAGGCCATGAAATTCTGAGATGCAATAAAGTTGAAATGCCGGGATTAGTATATATGTGGATTACCAGTGTTTCAAAGCACTAGAGTACGAATAATAAATATTAAAATTGCCTGACAAAATGGAAACTTTGTTTGAGAAGGCGCAGTAGGATCTTGCAACCAGCCATAATCATAAATATCAATTTTTACATATTGGCACAGCTCAAAATTGCTGGTAAAGAAGAAGTTCTCGTTGATGCACTACCAAATACACGGGCTTTTACCATAATTTGTTCTGCAGGTTAAAGTTAGTATTGTCAAAACACGGCAGGCAACATTAGATTTTAAGGTTCGGTATCATTGTATCCCCTATAGTATTAAATATAATTCAAACACAGAAAAATGCCCCTTCTCTCATTATGTCCTTTCTTTTTTGATGAGAGATGAATAGGTCCACTTGAGAAATGATTATATCGACTATTAGACTTTAAATTTTCTCTAGCACTACAACGCTGGCAAGAAATGGTAAGTCAGTAAATCCAAACAGACCGCTGATGTGTGATTTCACATCACAGATATTCTCTCTGCAGCACAATAGAACATAGGGTAGAGTACTGAGTTATCTCCCAATGAATTCAAGTCCCTCCTGCATCCTTTACATACCGATTTCATTAATATTAATAATCACTAATTCTAGCTAACACTTGCCAATGCATAATGGAACTATGTTTTTACAAATGTTGCCTAACAAAGACTGTTATTTTTTTCTGCATCTTGGTCGTGGCACAGTCTGATAGCTTTCAAAGGACAAGCCAAATTGTCAGACGCTGTTGGTTTGTAATGCCATCTTCGATCTGGAGCTGAAAAGTGTGGCCTCAGGTTTCTGGCCTGTCTTTCATGTCACAGAAGCACAGAATTGTTAAACAATCTGGGGAAATTCAAAGCAGCAAATGTGCAATAAAATTTTCTCTGTAGTTCGGGGCTACATGACAAAAGAGACCCATAAACTTTGTTCCATCCTGGTATTGGACAGTGACTTATCTGTGGGAACAGCAGCCACAACAGATGTAAAGAAAAACAGATAGAACTTTTTAAAAATAAACTTCAGGAAAGAGTTTTCCAGTCTTTATTTTTCCCTGTGTTTCAGCGAACACTCAGAGCTTTCCTGAAATGTTCTGTTGGAAACAGTGAGACTGGAAAAAGCTCTATGTTCCATTTTGTCCCCTTGTTTCAGGGCTTTCAGATGTCCTTTTAATAACCCTGAACTTGTAGAGTGTTTTAATTAATGACTTCACTGTTAGAGTATAATAACATAAACTTAAGAACCCCCTGTGATAATCATGCTTTGTTTATGGTTTTACAACAAACTTGTGTTCTATCCTGTTGGTATATTTATTGTATCTTGGCATTTCTTTTGAAGATGCCAGAAAATCCCAGAAGCTTAAAGAGAGAGAGACAACTTCTAAAACCATTTTGACTTTTTCTTTTTTTTTCTTGACAAAGTGTTTTATCTCTGAAGAACTCAATTCAGTACATGGGTCTTATGAGGACCTTTATTGTTCTAAAATGTCATATTTTCTTAGATCAAATGAAGAGCAACTATATTGAAAATAAGACAGATAGCTATTTTATAAAAGAATTTTTATCTTTCTCTGCCAAAAACACTGTATGTTTTTTCCTTAGTTTAGGAAATGGTGATAATTTTCACACTTTTCACTTTATCTTAGAAAGAGCTTGTACTTTTGTCTTGTAAAGAAGATTTAAAAAGTATGCATGGTAGGGCACAGTGGCTCATACCTGTAATCCCAGCACGTGGGGAGGCCAGGGTTGGAGGCTCACTTAGGACCAGGATTTCGAGGCTGCAGTGAACTATGAATGCACCACTGCATTCCAGTCTGGGTGACAGAGCGAGACCGTGTCTGGGGGAAAAAAAAAAAAAAGGTAAGTAATACTGTTTATTATGAAACTTAATTTACATTAACGTGAAATGTTAATGGAATCCTCCCTCTTTTCTAACTCTGAAATTCCATTCTAAAGCCATAAAATGGGAGGGCAAGGTAGGAGTGTGCAGCAGGGAGGAGGGGGGAGTTGTGGTGGCCCAGAACCACGTCAGACCCAAGATGGTAAGTACTGGTAGGGGACAGCCTGGCAAGGGGTGTCGAGCCTTGGGAGGGTGAGAGGATGTTCACAGGTGGGCACAGGCTGGTGTGCGGTTTTGGGGTACAAGCACGGTGAAGCAGGTGTCTAGATTTAAAGTGGATTGGAATACAAACCCCAAAAATATTTGTCCAAGTGCTAACTCCTGGTACCAAACTCTGTATTAATTTCCCAGAGCTGCTGTAACTAATTATGTTAAACCTGATGACTTCATTCAACAGCAATTTATTCTTTCACAGTTCTAGAGACCAGAAGGCCAAAATCAAAGTATGGGCAGGCTTGATTTATTTAGAAGACTCCAAGGGAAAAATGTGTCTCCTTGCTTCTGGTGGATACTGGCAACCCTTGGAGTTCCTTGGCTTGTAGGCACATGACTTCAATCTCTGTTTCTGCTTTCATGTGGGGTTCTTCTCTGTGTGTGTCTGTGTAGCCGCCTTTTCTGACGCTCATAAGAACATTTGCTATTGGATGTAGAGCCCTCCCTCATTCAGGATGACCACATCTTCAAATTCTTATCTTGGTTATGTCTACAAAGACTCTTATTCCAAATAAAGGCACATTTTGAGGTTTTGGGTGGACATGTGTTTTGATGTGCCACTATTCAACACACTACCAGGTGAAGGGAGGTGACTCATCAGGTGGTTTCAGAGATCAAGAAGAGTGAGAATGGCATCCCTGTGAAGGGGTGGTTTCTTGTGGGGCATGAATGCTTATGCAGGATAGGAGAGCATCCATGCTAGAAGTCACCCAACATAAATGTCAGACCCCAAGTGGGGTGAGGAGGCAAGATGGAAGACTGGTTACATATGGTAGACTGATCAAATTGGGTAGTAAGTATTTTGAGGGTAAGAGAAGCCAAGATTCTGTCATAGAAGCAAATTAAAAATATAAAAAAGGAGAAAATTAAGGAATTGAAGATACTGGTGTGACCTTATAATTTTTAATAAAGATGTATTAATACATGGAGATGTAAATGTATGTGGGTATATGTGTGTATTATAATACCTAGCTCTGTTGACTGAAATAGGCTGGAAGGATATCCACTACAATACCAGCTAGCACACTTAGAACCCGTATCTTGGCTTCTAAATACCAGTCTTTACCAAAAAGAGTTTTCTTTGGGAAAATGACCAGTTTTCAGAGTTTGTATAGAGGGAGTACGGTATCAAGCATTTTATGCCAGAAAGTAAGAAGTGCTTTAAAAAAATGATGGAGACATGTCAAAAGGGCACAAAATTCATCTTGAAGAAGCTCCCACAGGCCAAATTGGGAATAATCTGACCATCAGAATAAACGATAGTAATGTATTATAACTCATTAAAATACAAAACCTAAAGTCCATTGTGATCACAGTAAACTGAAAAATTGGAAGGAATGAGGTATTTACATACTTTCAAATGTATTCCCCACGAAATATTTACTAATCACAAGGGGAAAGTGAAGACATTTTGAATGGAGAAACATGGCAGATGCCAGCTGAACTGAGTGATCAAAGCGAACATCATCAGTGACAGCATAAATCACAATTGCTTGTCACCCACCTGATAGAATGCAATGAGAAACATCTGTGATATTCCTGTCAGATGTATCATCTGAATCTCATTATGAGAAAGCACAATATAGCCAAACTGAGGCATGTTCTACAGAATAACTGGCTGGTAATTTTCAAAAGTCTCAGAGATGTGAAAGCCAGGGAGAGACTAATGAACTAATGAAGGCATCTGGAGAGACCTGATAACTAATTGCAATGTGTGTTTCCTAACTGGACCCTTATTTTGATAATCAAACGGGGTCTGAAAATTAGAGAGTAGTAACATCTCAACACAGTTGCTTAATACATTAACTATGATGATGGCAATGCTGATGACAATGATCACTGAAGGACCATGAAAAAATACACTAGCATCTATCTACTCAATATCCTGGAATTCTAGAACAGGAGTGTTCTGGATCATGAGCAAAAAAAAAACTGGTTCCCCCAGGTCTAATCAAATGGAGAGGTAAATTTAAAAGCACTTTGCCAAACAATTAAACTCTTGAGACCCAGATAACTCAAGTCTTCAGACCTAGGAATGCTACAGTTAAATTGTTTTCATGAAACTAAAAAATTCATTCTTCCAACAACCAAAGGAGAGGAATGAATATGAAAAGAGAGGTTGAATTGGCCTAATAGTGGCGTGCTGGGAGCAATTCATTGAACTGTAGAGCTGGAAGAGACAAAGGTAAGCGTGCCAGCTTCCTTCTATAATGCCAGTTTGGAAGACTGATCCCTCATTTTCCGAGGGAAAAATAAATCCCAGTGTCACATTTGCATTTCTGTGTAGATTTTTGCTTAGGTTTTCTAAAGAGCTCAAAATATACCATCATTGTATTTAAGGAAGTCTTATGGGTATCCTCACTTACTCACGGTGCAGTACTATTCCTGCAGATTCTACATCTCCATGCATAGGCCACTGTTTCAGCAATCTCAGCCAGTGCAACACAACCTCAACCAAAAAGATCTTGAGAAAGGAGTCCCATACCTGCCACAGAGCTGTTGTGTGAAAACGATCTCATATTGTCTCAAGTTGTCAACTAGTGTGAATTTGACCTTTTTAACATGTAATCTGCAACATGCTTCATTATCTGATTTTCCAGAGCCGTATTATTAAGAAACTGTATTATTGGTGTCATCATCATGGTGAGGAAGTTGGTATGTGGAGAAGAGATGACAGAAGCAGTGAGTAACTCAGAGCTGGCTGCCTGACAGATAGAAAGGAAGTAACCCAAAAAAAAAAAAAAAAAAGATGACAGAATAGTTTGTTGTCCACACAGAAAAAGGAAATATAGGTAAGATAGCACTAGGCTAACATTCATAAGACTGAAGTTTCTAGTCTTATTTATTAGCTATGAGAGGCCTTGAGGGAGTTCTAGAATTAAGTGATCTCCATTTATAAAATCAGAACAGTTTATCCCACAACACTATAGTAAGAAATAAATTTATAATTAATTTTTATAATATAGTTTTATAATTAAAGACCATTTTAGGGCTGATTACATTTTTGGGCAGTGGCTCATGCATGTAATCTCAACACTTTGGGAGACCAAGGTGGGAAGATTACTTGAACCCAGGAATTTGAGACCAGGCTGGCTCAACACAGACCTTGTCACTACAAAAGAAAAAAAATTAGGCATGGTGGCATATGCTGGTGGTCGCAGCTAATCAGGAGGCTGAGTCAGGAGGATCGCCTGAGCCTGGGAGGTCAAGGCTACAGTGAGCCATGATCACACTACTGTACTCCAGCCTGGGAAACAGTAAGACTCTGTCTCAAAAAAAAAAAAAAAAAAGAGTATTTTACACTTCAAGGTACTACACAAATGTAAAGTATCATTCTATTACATATTAGTAATGATGATTATTCTTTAAATGATTTTAAAATGTTCATCTCTGCTTAAGCCCACAGACATATGTAACAAATCTGTGAAGGACTGGCATTAAAGATAGTCAAAATAAAACATAGAAATTAGGGTCAATAATTTAACTGGTGAAATAATCTAAGTGGTAATTGTTGGATACGTGGAAATTTGATTAGCTGATTGTTTAGGATTCTTGGTTGTAAGTGACTGATAACTAAAAGTAGGTGACGCATATAACTGAGAAGTCTGTGGTAAGGCTCAGTAGTCAGAAATGGGAAAATCTTGGGACTGGTTCATGTTTTATTTACATTATATCTGTTCCCAGGCAGTCTCTGCATGTAAGTAACAAAGATGACTATCTGCAAGTATAGACCTACTTTTGTAAAGGGTTATCTCAAGCCATTCTAGAGAAGCACTAAAAGCCACTTTATTTATACTAGGAGAATAGTTTGCTTTCCCTAATTTGTGATGAGTGGAACACTGAAAAGGGATCTAGAATAACATTCTGTAGTGCAGGGGTTGATGGAATGTGGCTAGTGGGCCGAATCCAGTCCTCAGCCTGATTTTGCAAATAACCTTACAGAAACACGGCAATGTGCCTTCATTCCATGTTGTTTATGGTTGTTTTGGGGTTACAATGGCAGAGTGGAGTAGTCGCGACAGAGATCACTAGGCTTACCACATCTATTTACTGACTGACCCTTTACAGAAGGCTTGCTGCTCTTAGAGGAATGTGTGTTTCTAGTCTCAGCAATAAACTTCTTGGATTTGTTTTCTCATCTTTACAATGATAGTCACAGACTAGGTGATTCTTGTGACCTGTTTTTGAAACCCACTGTGTCTTCTGTCAGGGCTCTGGTTCTGTTTCTTATGCTACTGAATGCACAATTTAATGCCCTGGAATTTCCTTCTGTCTTCTGCTAAAGCCACACCTCCTCAGACAGTTAAAATAGTTAATCCCATTCTCCAGTCTCCAGAGTTATTTTCCTAAATTAAGAACTGGATTCAAAGTTACACATTATGCCACATACAGTGGTTGAAAAGAGCTTCTCTTTTGTGCACTGTGTGTATTTCAGCATCTTGTTAGGTAGAAAAGGAATAGTCTTCCACAGTATATTGTATCCATATTTGGGCCAGGAGCTCTTCTTTACCACGGAACATGATGGAAGAAATATATGATGATAATATTAGGGCAGGGATGTGATAAAGAATCACAAAATTTGAGGCCGGGCCTGGTGACTCACGCCTGTGATCACTTTGGGAGGCCGAGGTGGGCAGATCACCTTAGGTCAGGAGTTCGAGACCAGCTTGGCCAATGTGGTGAAACCCCATCTCTACTAAAAAAGAGTACAAAAATTAGCCAGGTGTGGTGGTGTACACATGTAATCCCAGCTACTCAGGAGGCTGGGGCAGGAGAACAGCTTGAACCCAGGATGGGAAGGTTGCAGTGAGCTGAGATCACATCACCACTGCATTCCAGTCTGGGTGACAGAACGAGACTCCATCTCGGGGAGGGGGACAGTGCAGTGGGGGGGGGGGAAGAATCTAGAATCTAGAAAACGATCTCCAAGATTTAATCATCTAATTATTTATTTTAAAAATGAGAAAAATGACTCCTGGTCACCTTTTACCTTCTTTTTCAACTGTTCTGGCAATACTTTCATATTGGGCTTTCAAAGTCTCAAGTAACAGGTTTTAAAAACCTCAGATACTCAAAGTATAAACATAAGGTTAAAACCTATTAAAGGCAAAATCCATCAGCTTCCTCTTCTTTACTCTTCCATGGGGGTTGGTTCTAATTTCTCCATCTACTTAGGCAGTCCTTTGCTTTTTATTGCTTATTGATGACATTTGCCATATGTAGCAATAGTAATACAGTCATCTATATGTTTATGACCTTGTTGAATATAGAAAAAGAATAGGGCCATTTTCTAACTGTATAACCTTTAACACCTTGACAGAGGACTACAGTTCATATGCTGGACCATTTGTGTTTGTTCATGGCGGGTGGATTGCTTTAATATAATTAGCACATTATCCTAACTGCCAGCCTTTTGGGGACGGCTATATATTCATGCTAATATGGTAGCATTTTTGCTTTAACGTAGAGTTGACCCACGGTAGATAAAAATGCTGTTCATTTTTGCCTAATACTAATAAAATTACCTAATTGATGAAGCTTGGAGCTTGAATCTAGGCATTTTATGTCATTTCAAGTACACCCTGGAATTTTAAAGCATAAACATCCTACAGTCCTCAACAACTTTAGAACAAAAATAAATATTTTAATAAGAAAAAAGCATGGCATGACAAGCTGTAACTTAATAAAGAAAAGGAATGGTCTCTATAGACCGAGAGAAAATGAGGCCTTAGATATTTTTATACTAAAGGAATGTTATGAATATAAAAAACAGCTTGATCCCCCCCAAAAAACTGCCAAACCCTATATTTTTGTTATTGCAAGACTATTGTTTTATTGAATAAAACAGTATGAATTGGTTTTACTTGTTTCCATTTAATACCTACTAACTTCAGAATTATACTGCCTGAAGTTTTTAACTTCAAGTACAACAAGATGACTATAATAGTTTTATGCAAGGCAAATGTGAAAAACAGAAGTAATTTTTTTTTAAAGTTTGGAATATCTAAAAGGTATAAATCTTCAGTACATCAACTCAGGTGAGCCAGAAATGTAACTTATTTTTCCAGGTTTAATCCTTACGTTGTTTTTGTGCTTCTGAGGGCTTAGAGTTTTCATGTGTTCTTAGGACATGCCACCCTCTCTTCACCTGAATGTGTTCACCAACCCAGAAGCTCTTGGAACCCCACCATTTGGGGTTTTTATGGAGGCTCCATTAAGTAGCTAAGACTGATTAAATCACTGGCCATTGGTGGTTGACTCAGACTCCAGCTTCTGTTCCCTCTCTAGAGGTGAAGGGGTGGGAAGGTGAAGCTAAGTTCCAACCCTCCGACCACAGGGTTGGCTCCTCTGCAACTAGCCTTCATCTTGAAACAATCTAGAGCCCACTGAGTCACCCCATTAGCAAACTCAGATGTGATTTAAAGGGTCTTATTATGAATAACAAAAGATAATCCTCTCACCCCTATCACTCAGACAATTCCAAGGGTTTTAGAAGCTCTTGTGCCAGGAACTGGAAACAAAGACCAAATATATATGTCTTCTTCTATCACAATGTCATGGGTGTGATACGGTAGGTAAATGGAGTCTCAGAGAGTCCCCCAGAGTATTCCAAGGATCCACTAAATGAAGAATAAATGGAAGGTTCTCCCCATGATCAAAAGTGGCCAGAAAATACTTGAGAATAAGTAATAACTAAAGAGGCCCTATAGTAGGAAGGAATGCACAGAGGACCCAGTGTAAAAGAGGACATCCCCATCTCAGCTAGTGTGGATGCATGCCAGCGTAGGAAGATGCTAGTGTGGCTACATGGTGTACTGAAGACCAGACTCCTTCACGGCCCCTTGATACTTTAGTTCTATGTCATCCCCTAAACTTAGATGTTATGACATTCAGGACATGCCACCCCACAATTTTTAAGCTGAAGGAATTTGAGAAAACAGCAGAAGCAGGAATGTAATTGCCCAATGAGTTCTTCCTGCCCTCTGCACAGACAAAACCAGTTTACTGAGACCATGGTATTGCAGTTAAGAAAGAGTTTAATTAATAGGAGGCTCGCCACAGAGTTGTCACTCAAATTAGTCTCCCTGAAGGCTCAGAGGTCAGGATTTTTCATGGATAGTTCAGTGAGCAGGGAATTAGGGGGTGGGTACTGCTGACTGGTTGAGGATACAATCATAGGGATCC